TTGATGTATGGCAACATAAACAGCACTTCTGAAAAATTAATTGAACAAGCGTTTAAAGTTATTGAAGTGCTAAGCTGTGGAACCGAGTTGAGAGTAAAACGCAACAGATTTTTATACCATGAAACATTCCGAATCACTTATAAGTTGAGGAAAGAGCGCATTTGTTAACGCAAATTTGTGGCTTGGTTTTTAGCGTCACACAAGCTAAACGGCTGTGCTCGCTCAACCGTAATGCACCGATACTTGTTACACTTTTCTCTTTGATAGAAGTCGACTTTATCTTGTCGAGGAGGGAGATAAATAAATTTCTGCAGTAAATGGCGCTGATTAGTTTCGTCGGACCTCACACCAATACACCGAAGACTGAACAAACTGAAAATGCCGAAACCGAACGCGGAGATAATGACACCTATTGTCAGTTTGAATAAGTCTTCTACTTCCTCATTTGTGGCCTCTGCACGTCACGGCATTGTCAATTCCGTTGGGATTTTGACTACTCTTGTTGCTAAGATCGTTAGATGCAACAACACTTCTGGTATACAAACGCCCCTACCGACTCCCCCAACAATCCCTAGCAAGCCTAAGCATGTGCTTAAGTCAAAGCGGAATCCAAGGTAGGGTCAGCCATTCGGACACCGGATAAGTCCAGCTCCATTATGAAATCTTTTCCTCCTCAATCGCCTGACAATGCCTAAAACACTCCGGCCCAAAACAAAGCGTGTTTCCAACTACCGCCCACGGACATCATATGGAGGCGGTTAGGCCGAATACTCCGATATTCCCGCCTTTAAATAGAATTCCTGTCCCAATGGATGCAGTGCATCCCCCCAACCCCATCACTTTTCCTTCATGACCGTTTTACCAACGCATTCCTCATGCTAATGTCCATACTGGATCAGGTAACTCATCCGCACTTCAGTTTTGCTCCGATGGGAATACGTAACAGTAACCGGACCTCTGGATTTCCAGCGGGAACTGAACTAGCTAACACTTCTCATCAGATTCCCTGTATGTCATTTTCTCCCCCAAATGCTGCTCCTCTTTATTCCTGTCAGGAACTTTTGATGCCACAAAATTTTTTTGCAGTACCGGATAGGTGCATCCGGACCGTATCTTCCGTGGGCAGCCATTCACTGGACGGCGTAGCTTACCTCCTACAGAAACAAACAGTCTTTCTCCTTAAACTTTTTGTTCTAAATATCAGATCCTTGTTAAATTAGCTGCCGGTGTTTCAGAATCTGGTGTTTGTCCATTGCCCAGATATTGTTTTAGTAACTGAGACATGGCCATCAGCCTTTGTAGCTGATTCCGGACTCCCTCTTCTAGGCTATACCTGCAGTCGAAATGGTCGTCAAGACAGCCGTGGTAGCGGCAGTTGCGTCTACGTTAAGCATACACTTACATTTCTGCTGATCGACCTACGACATTTTTCCTCGGTAAAGGGCAGCTGCTGGCTCCAATTTGCACTAAAAAAATAAATTCTCCTTACTAATTGGCTGTGCCTATCGCCCTCCCTCCTTAACTGTCACTGGCATTTCAGCTGGGACCGACTTAAGCCTTAGGTATCAACTGGCTGTGGGTGACTTTAATCTTACCGAAGTCCACTGGTCTCCGCCTTCCGGTCCCAGAAGGTTCGAGAACGTTCTTGAGGCTGCGGATGTTGGGATGTGGAGTCAGGTTGTCGATTTTCCCACCCGAGCATCAAGCATACATGACCTAATATTCCACAGAGGTTGTAGGTCTTCGTCAGTTTCATCCCTAGGTCCACTCGGGAGCTCAGACCATGACATAGATTTTTCAAGACTGACAAAATTTCCCTCCCAAAGTATGGTTTCTTCTTCAATTTCCGACCAGCTCGTTCGGCCGAATTATTAACCTACCTTATAGTCTACAATTGGACTGATTTCTTCCTAAGTTCGGAGATAAATGTGTGCACTACTAGACTGTAAAAGAATTTGGATCCGTCCATTTCTCGTCTTGCTCCATGGAAGAAAATAATTGATTTCGGATATGGGATTTTCCTACCCTTACCCTTTCGTTGCAGGTTCTGCAGACTTTCCCGTCGATTCCATCTTCAGAAAGACGTTTCCGTTTTGCCCTCCATTTGTGACATTTTTGAGCATACCAAGAAATTGTCTGATGAAAAACAATTAGCCGAAGAGGTACAATTCACTGAAAACCGTTCGGGATGTATCTCGAAACTTTTCTCCTGAAAAGTACAAACTCATAGAAAGGCGCAGCATCCCATCCTCAGAGACGCTCTCGGGAATATTACAGCTGATGCCCAGTTAACCGCTAAAAGTTTCAACGCCTTCCTGTCCAAAACGTCTAATAAAAACTCGACCACTGCGATTCCGCCCATCCAGGCAGTTCTCGAAAATATAACTTTCACTCTATGCAGTGTGACTGTTGCGATTCGGCGTTTTCGTCAATCTCATAGCCCTGGACCTGATGGCGTCCCAGTAATCATTTTAAAAGCCGTTGCAAATACGATTTTCCATCCCTCTTATGCAACATATTTAATCTCGCTCTTGAAAGTGAAACCTATCCTACCTCGTCGAAGGGATCACACATTTTGCCTATTCCCAAGCATGGCCAATCTACGTCATTCGATGACTTTTGGCTACTAAACACCCTCTCGGCAGTTTCGAAGATCTTAGAGACATTGATCAAAGATAAAATGATGTGTCACTTAACAGAGAATAACCTACTGATCGCTGCACAGCATGAATTACTCAAAGCTCGGTCTTGTGACACCTGTCAGCTCTCTTTCCTTGACCATGTTCTCCAATCCAGGGACAATGTTTTTGCACTTTACACAGCGTATTTCGATTTCATTAGGGTTGTTGATCGTGTTGACCATGCTCTTCTTCTCTTGAAACCGCCCTCTTTCAGAATAGGTAGCAAACTCCTGAATTTTATATCATCTTACCTGGACCCTCGTACACAACGAGTTAAGATTTCAAATTCTATCTCCAACCCCACACGTGTGAGGAGTGGAGTCATTCAGGGTAGTGCACTTGACCTGCTATTATTTTGCCTTTTTATTAACGATGTATCCGATGTATTTCAGAATGGTAAGCCCTTCATGTATGCCGATGATCTGAAAGTTGCATACAGATATCAGCCGGCAAATCATGACATCGGGCTCGAGCTTCTAAAGAACGATCTACAGGCCTTCGCCCAGTGGTACCGCTAGTGGCGCCTTTCTCTTTCCTTGCATAAATGCTCGGTCACGGTCGTCGGCGACGACCGCAAACCTCAACTAAGTATTGCCGATAACGACATAGATGTGCCTGGAATTACTAAGGATCTGGGTGTAGCATACGTCCTGATAGTCTCCAGAACACGTAGGATGACCGACTTTATTCTCCGAAACTTTAAAACCAGCAATATTAGAATGCGCACTTATAACACGTCCGTTAGACCTAGACTGGAATACAGTTCGTGGTACTGAGCGGAAGAAAATAGAATCCGTCCAACATTCTTTTTACCAAGAGAGTTTTAACCCCGGAACACCGGCATTTGTCATACCTAAAACGTTGTCGACTCAAAGGTCTTGATTCATTGTGGTTTCTTAGATTACAAAGGTAATCATTTATATTATTTGAGCTTTTATATAATCGTACCTTTAGCCCACTCACTACTTTAGGATATCTTGTTCACCCCCGACGTAACAGTCACCGTGAGGTGTTTTTATTTATTGCTCTGGCAGGTACCGTTAAACATCGTCGGGTCTTTTCTGTGAACGGAATTGCTATTTGGAATAAACTACCCAGAAATGTGAAAATTCTGCAAAATTATCCTTTGCTTAAGAGAACTATTATTCGATTTTTGCTTTCAGAAAACTCCCAAAAAATTTGGGTGCTAAATCCATCAAGCGAATGTACCGCGGCGACGGCGTTCGTGGTCTCCCATCCCTGTGGTCGGTCTCACTAGGGACGTTTTCTTTAGCCAACAGAGACAGCTGTTCTTTAGTGCTTCTTTTTGGTCCAGTCCCAACTTCATGAAAAAAATGGCGACCAACAATATCCAGTGCAGTGTCATCCCTTAATTTCTTGACTGTCGGCATTTCATGGGCAGCAGTTTTTTTCTCCTGAACCCTCTAAACTGTAAAAAACCACCATCACCTTTCAATTTTTGTGTCAGGAGTGTTTTTCCACATCTGGCCGGATTTGTGTTTAACCTTCCCTGTCAATGCCTGTAAACTGGCATTAAATAAAATGACTTATATCGTTATGGCTATTAGTATTGATACCATAACTACTTCTCAGAATTCCATTGATCAGTTTGCTCTTCATGCGGAACCGTTGAGCAAAATTATTGCGCATATTTGCCATCAAAACGAGTATTCACTTTGCATTGCTAGTAGCGTTCCTGTACCCAACAGTAAAACTGTTATCATCATCGTCATCAAATACCGATTGCTACATAAACAAACGATCACGCATATCTTTCCAAATTTGTTCACACATGAATTCAACCGAGATAACAATTTCAATTATATTGCAACGGCATAAAAGGAATTAGAAAGGGTATCTGGTTTGTGCTCGTTTTGGGTACTATGACTTGTTCGTGCTGGTTATGGCAATTACTTATTCTGCTTTTGCTATTCCGTGTGCAGGGTTCATCTACTCTTGCCATTGCCACCCCAGCTCTATCCATTACTTTTAAACTTATGTTAAATTGCACTGAGAGACGTAATATTCGGGAGACCGAGGATTACTTGTTTGTCCAGGCCTCCACTGACCTCTGCACATTCGGAAATGGGGTCTGTTGGGCATTCTTGAGGTCTCGGCATGAGTATCGATGTGTGTGCCTTCTTGAAAAAACCGCTATCAAATTTGTAAAGTCTAAGTTAGGTTGCTTGTCAAACAGAAATCTGTAAAATATTAAATCATAAATTGTTATAGTTGATCCTCGTGGCGCATCCGCGCACTTTGCAAAGGAGGGGTTGCGTGTGGTTTATCTGTTGCGTCGACGGCTGCGGCTGCCCAGCAATGTCTTTGGATGAGTTCTTTGCCAAAAAGGGGAAGAAGAAATCAAAAAACAAGATAAGCACACAGGAACTCTTTGAGCAAATTGCGGACAATACTTTGCCCCAAAAAGTAGAAACTGAGAAGGTTCCCGACCCGTCAGCCGTGGTCGCTCAGGCTGTAAGCTTAGCATATTTTCTTACGTCTCCTTTAGGAGAATGAAGATTGGGAGCCCATCGTTAACGAAGATGTGGACTTAGACCTGTCGACTATGCGTATAGGCGATCTTTCGGTAAAGACTGAGCAAGAACAGGCGGTCGCCGATAGCTTGGACGCCCCCAGCAAGGGTGACGATGCCAAGGTGGTTTGGGGCGGGAAATCCACAACCGAAAGTGAGTAATTGCATACTCAGTATTTTTATTTTTCGTCTTTATAATGGCCTTTGCACCACCGACCTCATGCCACCTAGCATTTTTCACTCATGTGGACGAAATTATCGCCGTACACCTGCGTCTTACACTATGTAAAATGTGATAGGTCGTATTCAGTGTAGGATGAGGGCACCGTTTACCCATCCCGACTTTTGTTTCGTCATGGCGGTCGTCAATCCTCGATGCTTAATCCTCCTTGCGGTCGAACGTTGTACAACAATCCAATTTGAGTTTTCTCGATGTGTCGGGTTCGGAGGCGTAGGAGACGTTTTCTCACTCTCAGAACCAGAAGTCACTGCTTCTGCGCGTTTTCGAACCAGCTAGCCGCCTCCTCCACCGAAAACGTGCTAATTGACGGTCGCAATCTTGGCCAACAATTCCGTAATGCATAGCACCAATCTATGGCGTATTTTCTGTTTTTTTAAAGTGAGAGCTCGCATAGACGAAGTTATATTTGAGACAGCTATTATTCACTGGGACTGAATAAGCTGTCAAACGCCAACCTCACTAACACACAGTACGCCTCACCGGTAATGTCGACAAAACGAGATATTTACGTCCATTAGAGCGATTCACGACCCCCAAACCACCGTGACCCTAGCAGAACTGAATTTCGACGGAACAGTCATCCTGACACGAAAACGACAAATTCTAAAGCGTTAGGCCAAACCCTTCGGAGGTGTCTTAAGTCGGCCGTCTGAACTATCTCACAAAGTCATCGGCAAACCCGCAAACGAGAACTAGCGTAGAGTTCGACCGTCCGCTCTCGCCGCAAGAAAAAGCCAGAGCCGTAAATGAAGTGCCCTCTAACAATCTACCAGGCGCTGACTCCCAGCTAAAATTGAAAAGTATGGCCATCCTCAGCTCATTGACAAACACACCTCGCTATTCGAGACATGGAGACGTCTTTGTATGCGAAGTTGACCACCGAAGCATCTCCCCCTTTAGCATTTTGTGCAAAGTACTCCCCCGTCTCTTACTCGGTTGCCTCAATCTTCACCTGGAGCAGGGACGTCTTGAAAGTCGCTGTGGATTTTGGAGCAATCGTGCAGCCGCCGGCATGATCTCCGCCTCTCAACTAAACTAGAAATGTCGGGATATGCGGACCAGGTCCTGCACCATTAAGATTTTCTACGCGGTCCGCCGCGGACAATGGAAAATTAAAACGAAATTCGGATTCCAGAGTGCGCAATGCAGAAGGTACAACCGTTCCACCTCGCAATCATAGCACACGTTACGCATTCACAGTGAAAAGTGAAACGAAGCGCAGTTATTTGCTCGTCCCCTTGAGTCTCATATCATCCGCCATGCTGGTAGACGCAGTGAAGGGTATCACATACCAAACTGACGGACGATTTCTCCACACCCTACGCATTCAGACAATTACGCGAATCCCCTGAACCGGTATCCACGATCCCCTGTTCGCGGGAGATTGCTCACCCGACACCACAACGGCGGAGGACATGCGGTAGAGCATAAACCTTTTCGCCTTCATCTGCACAAGCTTCACAGAGGCCATCGGCGCAAAAATGACGGTGGTTATGTTCCAACGAGCACCATCTGATGAATACAACGCGTCTAGGATCGGTGTGAATAGAACTCGTCTTGCATCTGTGGACAAGTCCACCTACCTGAGAAGTACAATTCCAAGAAACTTCAAGGTCGGCGACGAATTTGCAAGTCTACTCATCGAAGCCAACCATGTCTTCAGTTGCAGCATCCTGTTTGGGATCCCTGCGGCCTTCACGTGGGTCGAGCCGCCATACTGACAACGCTCCTGTATGGGAGCTCAAAAATCTCCAATACCGAGGATCAACACTGCAAGGCCCATCATCTGTTAGCATGCCCCTGCTGCCAATTAACGTTCATAGCACGCATCGGATTGGTGGACGTCTTTGGATCCACTGTAATGGAGAAGCGCCAACTCGTCAGCTCCCGTGCAGACCGTCCGCATCACCAGCAACGTCGCGGATATAAACCCATCCGCCCCGCTGCCAACCTGCAATCATTGTGGCCGCACCTTGACGCGACTCATTGGCCTTGCCGACCAATTACGAATCCATCGCAACGCCCTATAGCGAGCGGAATGTCGCATGACGGAACATGCGCGTCTCATTTAAGTCGGAAGCACACCTTTGGACGTCGCTTGGTCCATGAGTTGAGGACCAGGTCGCGCATGGCACGCGTAGACTCGTCGTTTGCCTTATACTTGATACTTTCTGGTTTTGCCATCATTCATCGGTTCACGGGCACATACGATTGACCGATGAATGAGGGAATAAATGGTGGGATCGACAATGGGAAATCCATCCTCACGGCAAATCAGCGCACTTATCATTACAATAACGCGGACGCTTTCACGTCTGGGGACGCGATGACAGTCATGATTTAAAGGGCTGAAAACAGGCGGGGCAACTCGGGCCTCAGGACAGCGTGGGCCACAATAGCTCCTTGATGTGGCCTTCATTGTACTCACCTACTTGATATTCCAACAACCTTTATTGTAGTCTGGTACGTTTAGCGAATGCCAAGTCGAGTGTCACGCGTAGCCGGGCTGTTTAGCTTTGTCAGTCGTTGTGATCATGCCCGTCTGTTATCGTCTTGACCTGGCTCTTCCATGGGTGAGGCGAGAGTGCGGTAGATTCTGCGCAAGTTCGCCTCACTACAAAATGATTTGAGGGCGTCGCTGCGTCCACTCTGTGGGTCGCGCGGTGGACTTCATCGCTGTCTGATTTCCCCTATTACCAGAAAGTGTGAACTCAAAAGTAAGCTAGCGTCAGCCACCGGTTTGTGTTGTCGTTCAAAATACGCCGGTATCTAAGGGCTACGTGTTTTTAGATTTTTCCATCGTAAATTTCATGCCGACAGGATACCTGGTTGCAGACTTATTAATTCATGTGCGCAGGTCGACCCTTGCAAAGTTAGTTTGTCTAAACACTATGAACACATTTTTGCGGTAGAGGTCGTCTGAACCAGATTTCTGGTGCAGATACACTGCAAACCTAGGATTCTACCATATCGGCTTTCTTAAGTACTACGTAACAGTACTTTAGTGCTCTCAAAAGACCACATTAAAGCCAACTCAAGTTTGAGTCGCCAGGCGATACTCTAGGGTATGGGGGGACCACTCCACTAGGGTTCATGTGTGGTTATTTTTGATGTCCTGAAAGTGGAACTGAACACTGAAAACCAGACAAAGTAGTCGTGAAATAGACTCTCAGTCTTACGAAAAGTTGACAAACGTTGAGACTAAGACTAGATTCCAACCTTATGCTAGAAGATAGAAGTTGCAGCACCAAGAAATCCCGCAAAACTGCCACAGCGTGTTATCTGAACACGACTGAGGATTGTAGATCTCCTACGATCTTAAAAACCTGTCATATTTCGGTAATATCCAAGATTATCAGTGCCGTCCTGTAAAGCTCGGCGGGTTTGAGGGACCGCAGCTTTGCAGAGATATTTCGGAAGCATCGTAGATTCCTTGGCCGTCTACGGACGCTCGAGCTGTGATACTCTTGTGGGCTACATCCACCTGACCAGGTTTAGTGACCATCTTCCACTCCGTATTGCAGGTTCCTCCGTCGAGAAGTAGGGGGATTCTTAGGACTTAAACGCCCACTCCGGAGGCGACAGGGTTCCGAGTGACCGCTGTAGAACATCCAATCCCCTGCTTTACGTGATAATACCTTAGTAAATAAGTTACACGATTAAGTTGGTGTATTTTTATTATAGTATTACCTCAAGCTATTAGGCAGTGATGAGTCTGCTTCTACTCCCCGCGAAATCCAGTCAACACTCATCCCCAACCGCCAGTGTGGAATTTGGCTTGAATGAAACAATCTCTGAATGATGTCTGCGTCACTGAAAACTCGAGAACGTCTTTACACGTAGAATCTGGGGATTGCGAAGATGTACAGCGTTTGACGTCTGCGGTTTTATCAAATCGAGTGCAAAGTTCGAGGTCTTCATCGAGTGGTCACTGCAGTATCTTAGGGTTACATGAGTATACAGAGGAACTCACCAACACATAGACGTCTTAATTTGACACGCAGCTTGTACCATTACGCCTGACGACGACCGGTCTTTAGCTGTTAATCCCCCTAAAGCCCACATTTCTTGTGGGAGACAGTATAAGCAGACTGGTTCTACCCATCTTGTGACAACCTTCGTCGCGCATGTGATTTCGTATGTTCGTTGCCGTTAGTTCTACATTCTGGGAGCCTACTCTTCTATCACCGAAAGTGATGCTTTACGTGTGTAGTAGCACCTGTTGATTCTTGGGAAAGTGAGTTCTACGTCCACTTTTGAAAAAAGTAACTGGTCTCGGTCACATCCCTCTTGCTTTTTTCTGCGCTTTTGACTTACACGTTTTACCCTCTGACATGAACCTTCTCCTCTGATGCGAACACTTTGAGGTCTCATGGTGGTGCTTCTCGTGTGGCCTACATGCATATTATTACTGACATTTTGTTGGCCTTCTGACGGTGGCGCTCCACTCTAGAAGAATGACTTGCACCCGTTAAAATAGGCAGACCCGTTATTCTAGTCTGATATTTCTGGAGATCTCATTAGATAGACATTTCGCGGCTATCCAATACGCATGAAAAGGTCGATAGTTTGACTGTGCTTTCAGACCACGTAGGACTACTACACTTTCCTGACGACGGCTTGTTGCGCTCTGAAGTCGACCATGGGGCTCTCGTCCTTGTGCGGCAGGTAACCGTCGCGTACGCTGCAATATCTGACAGATTGGTTGTGACAACTTGCTTTGTCTTCTCTCAGTAGTAGTTCCCACCTAGCTCTGATGGTATTTGGGTGCTTCCTCGCATGCTGGCGACTGTGTTTTGGTTGTGTTGGTTTACATGCGTGTGGCCGGCTTTTGATTATTCTGTCTTCACCGCAAGTGCCAACTCTTGATGTAGACTGTTGACGGTTTTGCTGGTTACACCCAGTCCAGTCGAGAGTACCTAAACAATAGTAAAGTTAATTTTGCACTTGGCCTATTATCTAATTCCAACCCTTAGTAAGGGCTTGCAGTTTTAGTCGTATTTTAACCTTATCCATCTACGAGCCCTTGCATTGTCATTCACTGTCATTTTGGCGTCAACATATTTTCTAAGTCTTGCTCCGTAACTTGGGTGCTTTAGATTCGGAAACAGTGGAGCCCGAGGAACCAGTCGAAAAGCCGGCAGAACCTGCCAAACCAGGCCTTTACGTTCCTGTCTACCTACGCCCTGGCGGCGCCCGGGTGACCAATCGTCAGGCGCAGCCAAACATCGAAAGCATTGAAGAGTTCCCCACACTTGATGCCGTCCAAGAGAAACCGAAAAAGGTCAAAACCCCTGCGAAAGTCGAGACCGATGACTCTTGGAACGAAGTTAGCAAAACCTCTCAAGGACATCGACCTGATCCTTCTTCTCACGTCTACACTCCGCCTGTGCTACGTCAGGGCTCGGAGGTCAAACCCACTAAGTACTCATCGTCTTCCAGTTACAGTCAAAATCTGGAGCAGAGGTATGGTAACGTTGCACCCCGGGAATCCTTCCAACCGTCTACACAGTCTTGGAAACGTGGTGAAGTACTCTCTGGGTCTTCGTCCCAACTGTCTACAGAACAGGCGAAGTCTAGCGGCTGCGCCCGGGAACTTCCTCAGAGGTGAGTCTTATCTTCTGAATCCTTGGGTACACTTTGCGGAGAATTTTAACGGGTTGTGTTTTCTCTTCGGCAGTCGTCCGACTTCGAAGCCTTACCAGATTCCTATTCAACGGAACATCATGGAATTTCCCCAGGAAAATCGTTTCGCAAGGCTTGGCGATACATGAGCCGGAGGCCAGTGATTTCTCACAGGGGGATATACTGGCTTTCGCAGCCCTTTCGCGCACTATGAACCTTGCCTCATGAGACGCGAAATATGACCGCATTGTGCCATCATTGTACCATTACTGACTTAGGGACATATTCACATTCCTTTCACGTGCATACACTATAAGCGTATATCCACAGGTCTTCAATCCCTTACCTAAAACCTATGGCAGCCTAAACCTTTGGTTTGCGGTTTCCTCGCCCCTGTCGCTCAGCCCACTAGATTTCTCTTGATATCTCTTCAATGCTTTCACGCCTCCGAGGCCAAGTAAGCTTCCTGCTTTCGAGTGATCTCTGTTAAGACAACTTATTTTGTAGCTTGTATGCATGCTTTTTACGAAAATTGCATATAAATGTCTCTGACAGCCCTGGTGTTTTATCTACGAGACGTATCAACATATTAACACATATTGTAAACCCGCATTGTAGTGCGTCTTTCGTGTATTTATAGAAGAATATCGTTAGCTGTAAACTCGTTTTTTCCCATATTTTGGGACACAATTGGGTGTCATTTGAAAGAACCAAAGCTTGTGATTAAACTAGTCCACGTTCGGTCTTCTAGCTGTTAAATCACGTCGGCTCCCCTCCAGAAGCAACAGCACAGTGCCGTGTACAGACGCAATATCCTAACGAACTTCATCAAGACAGGGGACTTGAATTAAGACAGTACTCCGGAAGCCTCGCGTTCAGTTCAGGAAAAATCCCACTTGGTTGGCTGCCGCCAGCAGATGTTCACGCAATTGATTAGCCGTTTCGTATTCGGGTAGTTTCAGGTAGTGCATGCAGGTGTTCACACTAGGGTACGGACCGAATGCCCGGGCGTCCTTCTTTGCCACCTGTAAAAATCAGATTTCCTTGAAAGCACAAATAGGTAGGGAACGGGGGTGCCTATATCGATTTGAGGGCTAGATATTTGGGTAGGCTTGTGAACTAACAGCCAGTCCTCCGGAACATGTTTTACCACCTCGTTTTTCTAGTATGACCTAAGCACTTCCACTGGATTTGCATCCTCCAGGCGCGCATGCCGTTCACTATGAAAATCCTTGTGGAAACTGCGACTTGCCTGAACGGAGCATCCTGTTAAGCGGGTAAATTGGTTCAGCCCACTAGCGATTGACGCTACTGTTTTATTTAGAGGAGGTACGGAGCGAGTAGGGGGGTCCGTACTATTTATCACGCGAAGTTGAGAGTGTACCGTCTTTCAAGCCCTAGTTAACTTTTGGTACTGCCGGTACCGGCCTATTGATGAAGGCTGCGGGCAGGCGAGCTGGACTGCTGCTGGGAGGCCGCTTACGTACTGCGTCTGATCGGACTTCACCTGTCTTTTAGGCGTAACTGTCGAGTTTTGCTCGAGGTAAGCCGTGGAGTTGGCCGCCCGCAACTGCTTTCCGTACTGCAATGCGGTCCGGAGGACAACACTGTGGTTGCACCATCACCGCGACTCCCAATACGGAGGTCTGTGCAATATGGGCGTGCTTACGGTCATTGTGAAAGCCTTTTGACGCTACTGTTGTCTGCACTGACTGGTTTCCTCAGGCACTATCTGATTCTCAACGGCAGGAATCGTCGCACTGGTCCTCCGACGAGGCATGCAAATGGTATGTCGGGCACCAGCGAGCGGTATAGCAGTAACAAGCCGCTAATTTAGCCTGCAGTCAGTACTTACGAATTGATAGGACGCTTCCGTGCAGTCGACCCCTTTGTCGATTTGGCACTTCCCTGGGCGTTATGGATGGTGTAATCTAATGCGTCCTATCCAGATAAGGATGTTTACCTTTGCCACTTAGGATTTGGGATTTTTACAATCAATCGAGCCATTCGTTCGCGCCCAGGCTGTGCGTAGATTAAGCCCTAGACACGTAAGCCTGAGTAATCTCTGGAGGCTAGCAGTCACTCAAATTTGGCTAGATGGGCGCGCATAACCGTGAGACCGCTGTCAACTGGGATGAGCCGAAGTTCATCAAAGGAAGATTTCGTCAGTTTCAAATGACGAGCTGCCCGTGGCAATGGCTTTGGGGAAGATGTCTCAATTGGAGGCACAAACTGGCTGGACGCTAGAAGCCCCTGATTGTCCATCGCCAGTCGAACGAGAAGCTAGTTCTGTTACGGGCCACCGAAACATTCAGCAAACTGGCGACAAGTTGGAGCCTTCAGTCCGAAAAATGACCAAAGGACAGAGGAGGTAGGCAGAACAAGTATCTGCGCATCACGGGGACCCACATACGTTAGAGGATCTCGGTCAACCTACCGTAGTTACGCATCACCTTAACTGCTAGAGAAATGGCTCAGCTAATTAAATTACTACAGAAGACCAGATTCCTAAGGAGAAAGGGTCTCAGCAACCTTACTGGGGCATTCATGTCCGGCAAAGTAACATAAATGTTGGATCGGTGAAGAATGCCGCTCGGTTAAAGCTTACTTATCCTTCTGTTTCTGTTCAAAAATACGACAAAACAGTGTTGCGGTAGCGGTCGTGCTAGCTGCGGGCCTAGCTAACATCCCTGAACATGTTAGCTAGTGTAGACCGCGCTTATGCTAGCTGGTCCATCCCTTGAAATTTGATCCGGAATTCTGTAATAGGTTTCCAAATAGAAAGCATTACTTGATGGCGCTGTAATATTGATTGCCGTGCCGCGTAATACCAATATATTTCAGTCACACCAGTATGTAGTCTTTTGGGCGAGCTTTCCGACCGTCTACAGTGATTACACGGTAAATGGTGTGTTCAAGTTTTTGGAGACATTGCAAGTCAATGTGGATAAATAGTACTAATTAGTAAGTTTATTTAACGAATGTGGTTTTTGCAGGCATCCAGAAAGAAGCTAATTCAGAAGCTGGCATCCTGGTGTGACTGAAATGTACTGGGCTCACGCTGCATTGCAATTGATATTGCAACCCCATCCGAGTAATCCTATGCAATCGAAGGCACATTTCAGTATTTCGGCTAGCATTTAATGAGGTGGGCCAGCTGCTGCATAGGCTGGCATCCGGACCCTTCGAGGTTGTGTGGATCAGGCCCATTCCTTTCAAGGCATACTGAAGCACTGGAATCCCCACTTTCACTTTGTTAGTGACCACATAAGTGACACAGAAGACAACTGGAGTATACCAGCCTCGCTGAGGCCCAATTTCGTAATGCCGTGTCTGCAAGGACCCTTAAATATCGTTTGGCGTCCACGTTTGTCTAAATAGGGATGCATACTGTCCTATAATCCTTAAGTGAGTCGACTATGGGGTTCTGCCAACCTAACAGTTGGCTGTGGTCCGTCCGTGAGGCCGGCGCGGTCTTCTAATTGATTCGCTGGCGTGATCGGATTACCGGAACCAGTTGCCGGCCAGATGTCTGCAGGGCATTGAGTTGCGATTTTTCCTTTAAGGAGGATATGTCTGACCTGGACGCCTCCTCAACCACTAAACAAACATGGGGCTGGCACGCGTTGCCCGTCTGCAGGTGCTAGAAAGACGGACAAATGAGAAGAAGGATCCGGATACGGTCATCGACCGTCGGGGCTAGTGTGGACTGACTGCAAACATCAGATACATATGCTCTAGCTATGGTGTGGTCTCATCCATCACACCATACAAACTCACTTAGTCGCATCGGACTAACCTTGTATTTCTGGTCAAGCACTTCGAGTTAAGGTTTAGTGTAGGTATTATTGTAATAGAGATGGATAACTACCAACCTTCAGGGCGGGGTAGAGATTCCGAAAACCCCCTGGAGGAAGATTGGGCGAACCTGTGACAAATTTGACGAACGCCCTCCTTTCTCGTCCGCTAAAGTTGACAAGCACATTGAGCAGAAGTAGGTAGGCTGGCGAACTCCGCGTGTATCCAGCGACAGGCTCAAATACACCGAGCAGCTCGTCAAGTGTCCAAGGGACTGGGATGGTGTCTTCACCGGCAATCAGTCTACCCAACTCTCTCGGTTTGAATATCGACAGAGTTTCGATTGGGAATACCATGTTGAATCCACCTGAAATTCATAGTTATGAGTTGCAGTTTCATCCGTCCTAACATAAAAGGATTTTCTTGATGCTCACTTCGCCACTTTTTCAATTTCTCCCTTACCGCTGTCTTCACCCTTCTACCGC